TGTGTGTGTGTGTGTGTGTGTGTGTGTGTGTGTGTGTGTGTGTGTGTGTGTGTGTGTGTGTAAATATAAATAAAATCTGATTGGCGCCCCCTGGTGGACTATGTGTAAAATGCCAGAATTCATACGATGCTGCTACAGCTGATATATATTTGTTGTCAAAATACCTTTTAGTACATATGTTGTTAAAATAAAATGAACAGTCCAATGATCATTTTACTGATGTGTATAAAGACTGCAAAGACTGAAAAATATTGAAGTCTGTATGAAATTGGAGGTAGATTGAGGATTCAATTTTTTATGTTTTTTAAGCTAACAAAATGGGGGGTCGTATTATACATGAGATCGTATTATACATGAATAAATATGGTAAATGTTAGAAAAAGTGACAGTTTCTGTCTGGTTTTGTGTTTGGGAGAGCAGCAGCTGTTCTCTGTGTGTAAGAGCATGCAGACCCGAGTGGTGGAGCTCATCCCTCAGCTGCTGGACGAAGGGTTCGTGGAGGAGCTGCTCATCGTGAACGACGACCTCAACAACCTCTTCATTCGCTACGAGAGGCGAGCTGCAGCCGCTCACTTTGAAGTTTCACAAGCTAGCTGCAACGTTCTTACAATAACTGTGTTGTAACTGTGTTGTAGGTTTGACAGGCTGAACAAGGCTCAAAGTACAAACACCCAACAGGTAATAAATAAATAAATAAATAAATCAGTTTTCTGTTTGTTGGAAGTCTTTGAAGCAGATCTGTTTTTTAGATTTTCTTTGTTAATTCATTGCAGAGCTGTATTATGAGCCCAGAGCCTTCAGCCAATGAGCAGCCTGCTGTCATTCCAACAACCAACCTATCAACAGTCAGCTGCAGCACCAACCAGCAGCCGTCAGTCAATCACAGTGAGTAAACTGAGCAGATTCCGTCTGTGCCGTGTTTAAATCACAAAGCTGCGTCTAAACAAACGTTTGATCCTCCCGCTGTGCCGGAGGTTTCCACTGCGGCCGTTAATAAAAACTGTAGAATCTGTTTTTGCAGAAGAGGAGGAGGAGTTTGACATGTTCGCTCAGACCAGAGGCAGCTCCTTGGCGGAGCAGAGAAAAAGGTGAGCAGAGACTAAAAGATGCACGAATGTGACCCGACACATCCAATCAGGGGTTAAGTCATATTTGGTAGAAGTAAACTTGAGCTCGTTATCAGATTTCTGGCTTTTAAAGCTAAATTTTGATGCAATGATCGTCCCAATATGAGCCGTTCCAGAGGTACGGCTTGATTCGTTAATCTGGATAACTCCTTTAAAATGGATCTGAATCCATTTTATCAAATTGATAATAATTTTAGAATAATTTTTTATCATATTCTAATGAGAATTTATTTACGTTACTTGAAAGAGGAAACCTCAAACTATATTTGGATATTAAAACTTCTCAGCGGTTGTCAGGACCAGGGAAAGTAGGAAGATTTGGGGATTTTCTGCTTTAAATTTTAAATACTGCTCTGAAAAGTGCTTCAAAATATTTAAGATTTTTAGCTCAATAGCTGTAAAGTTAAATGAATTGTAGCCATTTTTGTGTTTGCGAAGGTTGCTTCTCTGTGTTAAACTGTGTGTGTGTGTGTGTGTGTGTGTGTGTAGTGTCAGGTATGAGGATCCTGGAGCTGTGGAAGGCCTTGCAGGAGCTCTGGACTCGAGGCTGCAGGTCACAGCAGGGGTGTGTATTCCACAGTGTCACACATGGATTCATTTTAGATTAAATATGATCTAAAGAAATCAGTCTTGGACTCTTTTGGATTGTTTTTCCTTCTCAGATGGCTCCAGCTAACAGCTCCCTGCAGAATGATATAGACAGATGGTTACCCAGTGACGTGGTAAGAGAAGGCATGAACGCTACTCATCGTGTCACCGTGAAATAAAAGCTAATATTTCCTGTTTGTGTTTTTATGAAAGCARGAAGAGCGGTCTTTGGTTTGTGAAGGCGTCACCAGTGAAGGTTTGTTTCTTTGAGTGTAAAAATAACATTTAACAAGCCCTCCTCCTTGTGCCTGAGCATGTGTCTGTGACAAACCTATCTCGTTCAGAGTTCGACAAGTTTCTGGACGAACGGGCGAAGGCGGCGAACCACAGTGACCTGACGATTCGCAGCGTGCCCCCCTCCACAGCCAGACCTCCGCCTCAACCCGCCACGCAGCAGGACTCGTCACATGACCGCCTCTTTACTCTCTGAGCGAGAAATTAAACCAAAAGAAAATTATTATATTTTAGAATTAAAACCAACCAATCTATTTGTTTTCTTTTTTTTACACAAAGTACTGTTTCTTTCAAATCTGCTGTTAGATGTCTTCATGTACATACAAACAACTTTATGTGAAGTATTTAAGATTATTATTAAAACGGTATGAACAATGACGTGTAAAATATTTCTGTTGTGCCTTGATGTGCCTTTAAGAGCTGATTCTGTGTAAATGAAAATAAATGGGATGCTGTTCCATAAGACCTGATGTAGCCTTTTTTTTATTTTTTATATTTTACATTTTACAATACAGCAAAACAAATAAGGCAATACAAAAGGTATTTTTTCAGCTTCTGCTGAGAAGTAGGGAAGAGGATTACGCTTCTGWAGATTAGGGCCACAGAGAAAAATATTTTTTCCTAAATTCTGACTTACAGGATTCTGACTTTAACCTCAGACTTCTGAGATTATCTCAGGATTCTGAGATTAAACTCAGAATTATGAGAATTTTTTTTTTCTCTGTGGCCCTAATCTTTGCCTGTAGCCATTTTGGTTAAATCTGCTAAAGAGTACAGATATTCTCTTAAAAAAACGCAATTGTATGTAGATATTTTTAATCGTCACRTTATTTTCACATTCTCTGTGTACACTACGATTTTATGTTCACAATGTTAATTATTAATTTATTATTAATTATTAAGGATGAGAGAGACAAAACTGTCTGGCTTCTTGCCAAATAATGAGACAAATCTTCACATGTATATATTACATCTAAAGGTGCTTATTAAATATTTAAGTACAATAACAATAAACACATATTTTATTATATTAATATTGTACTGTATTACTGCATTATAAATATCCACACATATTAAAGGGATCCTTATTGTAAAGTGTAAAACTGTACACTATTTTAGATGGGGTGGGATTATTTGGTATGTTAACATGTTTTTTTTTTTACTTTTTTGATACATCATTTGTTGACAGTAGTTACATGTTTGAACAATAGTTTCATATATTGATAATCAACATTAAGTTTTAAAAATGGTGATTTTTCACATTAAAGACTAACTTTTGGCATTTATAAATGTTTGTCATTTATAAACAGTGTACTGTATTACACTTTATGATAAGTCTCCCTTTGACAGTTACAATGTAGT